GGGTAGGGTAGTGTAATAATCCCTTGATTTTAGAGAGAAATCTGATCTCTGAAGTAAAAAAAAAAAAACTCCCACACTATTTGTAGGGTAGTGTAATAATCCCTTGATTTTAGAGAGAGATTATATCGACGAGGGAGGGTTTTCTTATGGTGGGGCAACGGTTAGGTGGCGTTTGATAAACTTTCACTGCATTATCTTTGGAAATCACACCTGCTGACGTCTTGGATTTTGGAATGCAGGTGAAAATTGATAGGGTGAAATTCTTATGTATTTCATCGATATGATAAGCAAAATACAATTTTTTAATAACATTATGTAACTAAATAAGGTTCCTTCCATTCATCTAATATAATACCAAATATGTAATAGATTCAAGAGATATGTGCTTGGAGAACCAAAAATGTAATAGATTCAAGGAATACTTTTTTGTGCTGGGAGATTTCATAAAATTTTACAGAACATATGCAGCAAAGAGGATAAGGCAGCGTAAAACAAGGACTTTAGAAGGACCAAATTGATATAAAGATTAAGATGTAGGATGTTTGTTGGGTTACATTGGATTGGCTGTGGAGTAGAATAGTTGGGGCTTTTTCTCGTGGGTGCAGTTGGCCTACGGATGCATCCGTAGTTGTAGAGGTAAGCTGCACTTTCAAATTTTATCATTGCATATAATTTTGATGTAAAATGTTCTTAGGATTATCTCAAAATCTATTTTTATATCTAATTATAAAATTTTAAATTTTAAAAATGGTTAAAATCAAGTAGATCTATAAACATATGAAAATCTTGAAAATGGACGGTGTAGATAATATGCTGTAAAATGAACTATTTCTGAGACTTAAAATCTTTTTATTTTCCATTGTCATACATCTCGATGTCGAGATGATCAATCAAAGGGTTTTTCAACATTTCCCATGGGTTTTTGGGGTGCACCCATAGTTCTACATTATAAGGTTGCATATTTATATAAACTTTTTCATTTTTTCACATAAGCTTTGCCGGATGAAATAAATGAGCCCTGATTCATAATGGGCGATGTAGGCTCTGCCTCATAATAGAACTTTTATTTGGTTCATAACCTCGGGCAAGATGATTCCAATGCACCATCTCCAAATGCATATTTTAGAAATAGTTTTATTGTGCAAATCTTTAGTGGTCATGCCTACAAGTACTTGATTAGTTTTAGGGCAAAAATCACAAAATGTTGATGCTAAATATTTAGAACTATCCTATCAGATCTAAACCAAAGGTGTCGAGCACCAAATGAGCACACAAACCACCCAAACTTAATTTTGACATTCATCATGAAACAAATCCTTGTTTAGGACTTCCTATGAGATGCAGAAAACACAAGTTGTTCATAATATGCAAATTAAATTACTCTATAGTTGGCAATTGAATTGTACAAAATGAAAATCCGGATATTCTCAACAAAAGCACAATAATTTTTTTTGGGGTAACTCAAAAGCCGTTTAAATTTCCATCAAAGAATACAGATACATCCTCCGGATGACCATCACCAATGTCAAACATAAAGGAAGGGTCCAAATGGTATACAGTAGGATCTTGAATTTCATGAGGAGAGCTAATCTATCACCAGTAGCACTCAATAAAGTTTAATTCCTTTTAATACCACCTCCTACTTATGAAATAAACATTTTGGCACTAGATTTCTCATTTCTCTCTGATCGCTTTATTTTCCAATGATTTTTTCTATTTTTTCAAATAGTTTCGCTAAAAAAAAAAAAAGCACCATACTCACCACTCTCTTTCTAAACAATTTCCCTTGCACTAAATAGAATCCCAGCAAAAGATCCATAGATTCACAAATACGGAAATTTGCAGCAGATTGCATTGCAAATATCCCCAAAAGCTAAACGAAATTGGAGCGAAATTGAGCATATTCATGAAATAAACATTTTGGCACTAGATTTCTCATTTCTATCTGATCGCTTTTTTTCCCAATGAATTTTTTTTAAAAAAATAATTTCGCTAAAACAAAAAAACACCATACTCACCACTCTCTTTCTAAACAATTTTCCTTGCACTAAATAGAATCCCAACAAAAGATCCATAGATTCTCAAATACAGGAATCTGCAACAGATTGCATTGCAAATATCCCCAAAAGCTGAAGGAAAATTAGAGCGAAAATTAAGCATTAGTCGAGCAACAATGGGAGCAATTCGCACACGTCGTCCCCCTTTCTCTCTCTATAACCTTCTCTCTCGCTATATCGAGCCTCCTCTTCGTGTTTTTTTCCCTTTTATCTATTCTTCTCTCTTCGTAGAAAGTGTTAGTCTCAAAAAAAAAAAAAAAAAAATTAATAAATAAATAAATCAAATCGATAAACAACTTATTCGGATCGGTTCTTAAATTACACGAACGACTTAAAGATCCGTACCAAAACCTATAGACCAAGCCATTTGGTGACATACTATCTTGAAAGTCCTTTTGGTGAATCTCCTTCACCATCCATCTCTATTTTTCTATCCTTTACCTACTTTTGTAGAAAACACGTTTATTTTGTAGCTCTCACCTTCATAGTCTGTAGGAGTCGAGATCCAAGTGTAACTCCTGCCTTAATTATCTTAAGTGCCTTAAAATCCAAGTGTAACTCATGCTTTAATTCCCTTAAGTGCAGCTAATTAAGATTGACAAGTTGTCACCAAATTATTAATCCCATGTAAGAAGCTAAAACTTTCATTAGTCTACTAATGACTCATATCATAGGATGTAATCCAAACATTCCTACAATTTGATAAAAGGAAAAGTTTATATAGAGTCCAGGCTCTAAACAATCAAATTTGAGCCTACCTCAAAAATGTCATTAGAAGATGTTGTTTTGATTCCCAAATATCTTCAAATTGATTATCTCGACATCAAGATGCATGGACATGAGAAAAAAATGGATTGCCAGTTTTAAAATTAGTATATTTTGTAACGCCTTTTTGGACCGTCAATTTTCAAGATATCATAGATATGTCGATCTACATTATTTTTGAAGCTTTGAACTTCATAAATAGATATGAAAATATATTTTAAAGCTATTACAAAGATTTCCAATATTGAAACCACATTTCTTGACGCTATTTGGAGGTAGGCTCTAATTTGATTGTTTAGAGCCTAGGCCTTATACAAACCGTACCCTTTGATAAAAGATATTTAGAAATTAAATAAACTTTGTATATCTATAATATAAAAACCAAATTTTTACAAGAAATCCAAAACACAATTGGTTTTTTCTTTTAGTGATACATCCTATTAAAACTAAAAATTGGATCTATATATATGGCATTGCCTCATGTTAACCACATGGAATTTCACATATCCTTCAATATAATTTTTGTACTATTATTAAAAAAATAAATTTTCAAGAGAAAAAGAGCCTTATAAGTTACATTTTCAACAGAAAGCACCAATATGTCTCCCCTCTCTCTCTAAAAAACACTTTCACTCTACTTTCTCTCACTAGCTATTAACAGGATGTCTACACAAGATGTCAACCTTAAATTATTGAAAGATGTTGCACCTCAAAAATCCACGAGTATTCGGATATGGGAAAACACTCCACTATGATCATATCGACCTCAATATGTATTGTATAGATATAGAAACGATAAAAGGCATATCGAGTTCTAAAAATAATAACAAATCATCTAGACGATCCATTTTCAAGATTTTCAAGTATTTATAGATCTACTCGATTTGTATCATATTTAGAATTTTAAATTTCACAAATAGGGATTAAAATATATTTTCAAGCTATTATAAAAATTTTGACATTGGAACTACATATTCAAACAAAATATGGAGGTACACCATACTTCTACAATATTAATAGTGCAACTTATACAAACCTCACCCATTAATTAAAAGGTGAAGTTTGTATAAGTTGCCCACTTTATACTATACAAGTACGGCTCACCTTTAAAATTTGTTAGGAGATACAATTCGCTTGTCAGAAAACTTATGATGGCATGAAAATCCATGTTCAATTATAGTTATGAAATTTAAAATTTCAAAAACGATGCAGATCAAATAAATCTATAACCACTTGAAAATCTTGAAAATATAAAATTCAAACAACTCATTACAAGATGCTTTTAAGATTTGAAATTCTTGTTTTTTTAAAATCTACAGATCTCGAGGTCAATATGATCAATATGAAGGTTTTATAACTTCATAATACAATTTTGAATTGGACCATGTATAGTATAAGGTTTTTGTAATTCAAATAAGAATAAAATTGGAAGGGGGTAAATGACCTATGAATAAAATTTGGTCATGTGGTGGCAAATAATTATATAGAATGGGGTATTCAAAATGAATACATTTGATAGAACTTAAATATAACGCCAAGAAATGATAAGATGAGATAATATAGATCTAGGTTGGCTGGCTATGTACAATACAGACATAATACAACACATGTTAAGAGCTGTGAGTTAATTCAAATAAAATGTCCAAAAATACAAAAAAGTAAGCTCAAAAGATAGAAAATAGTGAAAAAAAATATAAAGACTTATAACCTCACTAAACATAGTTAAAAGTAGTAAAAAAAAAATATAGAATTACATAACCTCACTGAGAATATAGTTCTTAATAGAACACGAAGATTCATATAACATCAACAGTTTATATAGAGCTTAAGCTCTAAACAATCAAATTAAAACCTACCTTCAAATAGTATCAAGAAATGCAATTTCAATACCAGAAATCTTAATGATAACCTTAAAATATATTTTAATCTTTATTTATAAGTTTTAAAGCATAAAAAACAATGCAGATCGACATATCTATAAAAATTTGAAAATCTTGACAATTGACTGTCCAAAAATACGTTACAAAATACCCTATTTTCCCAACGTAAAATCCAATTTTTTTCTCATGCCCATGCATCTTGATGTCGAGATGATCAATTTGAGAACAATCGGACATCAAAACATATTCTAGTGAAAGTTTTGAGGTAGGCTCAAATTTGATTGTTTAGAACTCTATGTAAACTTTTTCTCCACATAAATATCCAACAAAAAGAATTATTATGTGTCCATCCCTAAACTGCAACTTCCATTCCTTACCAGCAGCTTAATAATATAGAAGAGACATATACACCATTCACAAGAATCAAAATAATCATTATGAGTTAATGGTGCATTCATACTCAATCCTTTCTTTCATCTTTAACCATTCTCACCCATATCCCATTCTTCATCCTCAATTGCATTCTTTGTCAATGAGTTCATTGATTTGACCACCCTAGTGATTCTTAAAGTTGGTTTCACCATGTAATGATATTTTCTCAGAAAAAAAAGAAGCTCCTAAAAGCTTCGATTCGACCATCTATCAAATAGACAATCTGCATTCATTGAATCGAGCACATAATCACAACATTTTGTGCGCACACGATCTTCTTCCACCAACCTTAATTGCCTTGACCATTCTCTAAAATCTTCTTCTTCAACCTTATCTTCTGATTCGTCTTCTTCATCATCTCCTTCTTGACCATCCTTGGATCCATATTCTTCTTCAACTCCATTTTCTCAAGCATCCTCCTTTTCTTAGATTCTCGCAAGTTATGATCTTGATGATTATGATTGTTCTTGGCGCCTTCTGGCAACTTTTTGTGGGAATCCAACATTTCGAGTGACTCTTCTCCAGAAACTGACAAATCAGTTAGCCTAACACTGTGGTCTATCTTAGATTCATTCTCTCTCTGCGCCTTGAGTTCTTGGATCCGAGCAATATGCCTCTTTCCACTAAGATGCTGTTCCATGGCGACCTTATTGCTGCAGGGTACCCCACACTTCTTGCACCAAAGAGCTCCAGCTCCCATTCCCCTCCTTTTGAGCTCCTTCATCTCTTCGAGTTTCTCTTTGTGCTTCTTGCCTGCCTTGTGTTGCTTCAGGTGCTCCATGGTCACACAGTGGACCTCGCATGTGGTGCACCATGGCCTCTGTGATGGCGGTGGCTGCTTAGCCACTTGCTTTGTGAGTGATTCGCTCACAGCAGTAGGCTCTCTACCTCTCTTTATGCCGGTGAGATTGGGCCTTGAAGGCACACCCTGCTTAAGATTATTGGATACATTTCAAATTAGAGGGAAAGAAAGATACCATGTCTCAACGATGAACTGTTAAAATTTAAAAAAAAATTCAGTTCGCAATTAATCACAGGCAGCAAATTAAAAAGTCACAGACTAGGGCATGGACTCACCCAAGTAACTTGGACCCAGCTGAGTGCCGGGTCTGGATGACTAACCTGAGAAATCAGGCACTGAACCCAGTCTAAAAAATACATAAACTTTATGTATTTAGAATCAAGACCCAGCTGAGTTGGGCGGTTTGACTCAGCCAATTTGGTCGTGGCTTGGATTGAGGACACTGGCAAGTCAGAGCCCAAGACCGGCTCTCTGAACAATGATTACAGGTACTTGACAGTTGTAGCAGTTGCATAACATGGTGAAAATTTTATTGATTCATTCTTCTATAAGTTTCCAACTCAGATGCTAGAACTATGAAAGGTATTGAGCTATATATTTGTCTGCTATGAAATAAAAATAACATGGAAGTAACAGTATGACCAAAAAAAAAAAAAAGACAGGAAAAGCAAAACACAATCTATGGGAGAAGGATTTAAAAAAATACCAAGGACATCCCTTCATAGAAATGAAGATTCAAGTTTCTTTCAAACAATGCACTGTGAGTGATTTGTGGGATAACAAAATCAAGTTGCAATCACCATCCAATGAGAATATATTGGGACACCAACTGAAAAATGAGAAGCAGCCATGAAGACAAACTGAAGTGTAACAAGAAGGACAAGGGCAATACAGATTCTAGATCCAAATTAAAGTATGAAGGGGAAAGAACAACTAAACAAAACAATGGATTCCATCTGGAGAGGTCTAGGGGCAGAGAGAGACAGGTCAACATCTTCTCTTCCCAATGCTCTCTTAATTTTCAAAACATGTGAAGAGAGCTGCCTCAAAAGCTTGAAGTTTTTAATATGAGAAAGCATGCCATCTTGTGTTGTTTTTCCCCAGTTTTTTGGATCAGAGGTTGTTTCCTGTAGTAGTTCAATTATGAGGTTGTTTTCCTATAGACCAATTATTAACAAAGAAGAGACGAACATTATAACAAATTATCAGGTATGCATCCACTAGAGAACCGAGAATGTATGGCACAGCCATATCCAACAATACAAATTAAAATCAAGGGAAAAAGACATAAACCTCCCTCTCTAAGATTATAATCCCAAAAAACCCCCTGGTCCTATAAATATCCCATGGAACCCAAAGTCAAACAAAAAAGCCGTTTAACCCACTCCTTACCTTTCCATTGTCCAAATTACAGAATTTACAACCCTTTCATTTTTTCTTAAACATCCTGTTATCTAAATCCTCGAAAACACTCCTCTTTCTCTTTCTTCCTCACCCCTGGACCTCTCTCTCTCTCTCTCTCTCT